CAGAATTACCTTCTTGACTTAATAGCTTCCTTTTGGGTGATGTTTCTCCCAGGGAGAAGACAAATTGTCTGAGGTCAGCGTGCAGCCCGGCGTGCCGTGTAGGAGGAAATTGCAGCGGATCAGCTAAATTGGGGCAAGTCAGCGGCAGCGCGAGACGCGCGAGGCCGGGCAGAGGGGCGCTCCATGGGGTGCCATTCCCCAGGCTGCTGCCCCCAGGAGCCCTCGGCTCTGGGATGTGGGAGCCCCTCTGCTGTGGGTTATGGGAGCCCCTAGCTCGGGGATGCGGGAGCCCTTGGTTTGGGATGTGAGAGCCTCTCGGCTCTGGGATGCAGCAACCCTCAGCTTTGGAATGTGGGAATTCCTTGGCTCTGGGATGCAGCAGCCCCCTATTCTGGGATGTGGTAGCCGCTGGCTCTGGGATGTGGCAGCCCCCAGCTCCAGGATGCAGCAGCTCTTGGCTCAGGATGCCGCAGCCATTGGCTCGGGATGCAGCAGCCCTCAGCTCTGTGATGTGACAGCCCCCTGCTCTGGCATGCGGCAGGCCCTGGCTCTGGGATGCAGCAGCCCCTGGCTCTGGGATTTAGTAGTCCCCAGCTCTGGAAGGTAGCAGCCCCCAGCTCTGGGATGAAGCAGGCCCCAGCTCTGGGATGCAGCAGCCCCTGGCTCTGGGATGCGGCAGCCCCCATTTCTGGGATGCAGCAGCCCCCAGATCTGGGATCCAGCAGCCCCTGGCTTCTGGGATGCAGCATCCGCTGGCTCTGGGATGCAGCAGCTCCCAGCTCTGGGATGCGGGAACGTGCTGGCCGCCCATGCAGCTGCTCTCCGAGCCCGGCCGGTGGTGACTGCGAGAGACTCAGCAGAGCCGTCCAGCTCAGCACCGAGCGTGGCAGCCCCGGGTGCTTGGTTGAGCCAGGCAACTGCCCAGCCAAGGTGCCCCACGTGCTAGTGCTGCAGCTGGGCATGGAGCAGCCGCCGCCGCAGCCCTCGGGATTCCCGCACGGACGTGGAGCGGAGCTGGCGGGCAGCGCCGCCGGGCAGCACCACTGCGGAGCCGTGCGCTGGGAAGCCTGCGGCAGCCCGTGCCAGGCTGGAAGTGAGGACGAGAGACCTTCTCCCACTACGCGTTCCCATATTTATCCTGTTCTGCGAGGGGGAAATAAAAGGCTCCTTTTAATTAAGCTCTTTAGCCTTTGAAGTTATTTTTGATTTTTTTTTTTCACATTGATGATGTAATTTATGTAAATAATCGTCTATCTATGAAAGGAGTGTGTCTGTCAAAAGCTAAAATAAAAAACATCCGTCATTTTGAAGTGATTAACATTCTCCAGATGTTTAAATCATCAGATTTCAGAAGTTTCTCTTTGTTGTGATAATGATATAGTATCCAGAACAAGAATGTTTACTTTTTTGTATGGGTCAAACACAGATTTTTCACAATCCTATTAAAGCATGTAGTTTATTGTAATTGTATGTGCAGATGAAAGCATGTGCAGTTATTATTGTTCCCCATAATTGTAAACTGCTGCCGGTAATTTTACTGTAAAGCCGGAACCAAAGGGGCACGCTGGGGAGGACCACCAGCGCCCGCGCGTGCGGCGGGTTCCCGGGTGCCGGGGCCGCGCGGAGCGGGTTGTCCTGCGCGTGAGGGGCTGCGTCGCGCGGCCGGGGCTCTCAGCGGCCGGCCCTGCTGCACCGGCCGGGCTCTGTGGCTGGTGGTGGCTGCGGAACCGTCCCAGTGCTGACAAAGCGCTCCTGGAGCTCGCGGCCAAGAGCGCGGCCCGCGCCTGGGCCCACAGGCCGGCCCTGAAGCAGATTTGTCTGCTGCAGAGCGGCAGTGACTGGCAAAGCGAGGCTGGCGGCGGCGAGGAGCGGGAGCGGCTGCTGGGGCCCTGCGTGCGGGCGCCGGGAGCGGCAGCTGCGCGGGCGCCCGAGCCGGCGCGCGGGGCGGGAGGCGGCCGTGATTGCGCCGGGCCGTGAATGTGCCGCCCGCGCCGTGCGAATCAGGCGGCGCAGAGCGCTCAATCAAGGCGGTAATGGTCCCACTTCACAATCAGACAAGTGCCGCTCCTTCAGAAATCCTTCCATTTAGGGCTGATTGCTAACCTCGGCCTCATTTCTAATCTAAAGGGCGAGCAATAATTTGGAAAAGGAATTATAACAACTTCCTAGCCATTTGGTAAATCGTTATTATTTCAGAGGGATGTTGGGAGGCAGGCGCTGCTCGTCAGGTGCTTTTCCTGTGGCTGCTCCCCCATTCCTGGCGATAGCGGCTGGTGGGGCAGGAAGCAGAGCAGCAGCACGGTGCCGAGCACGCGGACATGCTCAGGGACATGGGGCTTTCCCGGTGGGAATGTCTGGCCACGGGGCAGGCATTGTCCTGGCTCTGTGCAGGTGCCACGGAGAATCCCGCGCTGGGATGCTCTGGTGGCGYCGGGGCCAGGAGGGAGCCCCTGGCCAGTCGGTGCCTGTGACGGCAGCTCCGGGTGCCACGGGTTGCGCGGGGGGCACAGCTGGCGCTCCGCTCACCGTGTCCTTTGCTCCACTCCACACAGCACCGCTGCCTGGTGCTGCAAGTACATCTGAGGGCACGCGGGAAAATCCGGGCCTGAGATGTGATTTGGAAGGGAGAGCATGAGAGGCACCTTCCAAAGTGTTTAACGACCCCATGAAAGCTGAGCCGCCGCTTGCAGGACGCGGAGCGCAGAGCTCGGTGCAGACACTCCCTSAACGAGATGTGTTCGACAGAGCTTGCTGAGCATCACGCGAGGACTGCGCTCAGAGCTCGGGTGTCCAGCTGAGCGGCTGCGGGAAGCCCTGCGCTGCTGCTCCGGCTCCYGTCTCAGGCCGCAGTGCTGCGGATCCTCCACACTACCCCTTCTGCCCGCATGGTCCCCCCGGTAGAAGGACCCGTGGCACCGGGAAACAGCCTTACGGGAGGTGTGCTCCGAAGCACGGCTCCGCACGATGCGGGGCAGTGGAAAACAGAGCCGATRCGTGAGCTCAGCGGAATTGCACCTGTGAACGGTCCTTCTTTTTTGTCCACACTATTAATGCCAGGCCAGGCTGCCCGGGCAGCTCCCTGGTGTGTCCATCTGTCCGGCAGCAGCGCAGCGAGAAGCTGCCATCCCCTCCGCAAAGGGGGCAAACGGAAGGGATGGCGGCTCCGCTCCACTGCGGCCTGGAGCAGTGGGAGCACACGTGTGAGCATGTGTGTGTGCACGTATGTGTGTGTGCTCGTATGTGTGTGTGCGCGTGTATGTGCGTGCACACGTGTATGTGTTTCTGCCTGCAGCCCAGGGGGTGGACGAAGCTGCTGGAGTCGCAGCGGAACAGGGAGGTTTAGAGAAATGGCTCTCGGGGACTTTCTCTTGGGGTGCACCAATGAGGTGGGCAGCAAGGCGCACAAGCCTGCTTTCTTTTTCTTCTAATTTCCTTGAATTTCTTAAGGAATTTCTTCTCAGCACTTCTTTGGAAACCGCCCAGGACGCTGCTCTGGTTGTGCTTTCCTAAGAACTTGATCCTCTTCATACACACACAAACATGTACACAAATCAGGGGAGCCCCTAAAGTCTTGATGCAGCTTTTTACCTTTACCTTTTGCAGCAGTCCTCCATTTTAACTTGAAAACAAGGAATTTTGAAATGTTACCAATGACTAAAAATAGCAGAACAACCATCTACAAACACTCACTGCACTGCCGACTGCAATTCCCATGTCAAGTCAGAAAATACTGGGAACTCTCATTTCAAAGGTGCTTATGCAGAGAGAGGGAAACGGCCACTGCTCATACGTAGGGCCAGGCAAGACGGGGATCCTCACGCGCTCTGAGCTCGGGGATCTGCGGCACCTCTGCTGCTGTGGCCGGGGGTCGGGACGGGATGGGATGGGACGGGAAGGGAAGGGGCCACATGCAGTGCGTTGTGCAGTGCGAGTCCACGGTGCCTGGAGCGGCACCGCTCCCGTCCGGCATGGAACGCGTGCTGGATGCGGCAGCACAGGCAAAACCACGGATTGATTAAACAGCACCGTGGAGTTTGTCCTCTGCTCTTCTACCCACAACAGCCATGAACAGCAGATACAGTTAATCTGAGGAGTGGAATCGTGTTCAGCTTGAACGACATCAATTGGTTTGAAAATACCTTTTTGGTTTTGTTTTGTTCTTTTATGGGATCATGCAAAAAATGAGAACAGGAACGATTTCTCCAGAGAAAAGCTGACTAAAGGTGGCACCTGCACCAGTGCCACGAGCACGGGACAGGCCGGGAGCGGAGCCAAGGGCGACACGTGCTCCATCCTGTCTGTCCTGTCCGTGCGCTGCTCCCTGTCCTCGCAGGGGGCCGTGTTACACTGTGTGTTATTTTCTCTAACTGTGTGTATAACACACAGTTACACTGTGTGTTATTTTCAGCTGATGCTAAACATCCTCCTCAATACCACATTACATAAAAATAAATTACCAACACACCATGAAAAAATTGTGTATTTCTAGCAGCAATGAGGACATTCTGCAACCATAGCACGCAATATGTGCAATAGTGTTTAACCCACGTCATGTGCACATGAAGCTCTTGGGCCGAGCCTCCCGAAGGCAGAGGTGCAGGCAGCCSTGGGAGCCTGGGGACGCAGGCGCTGCGGGAGCGCAGTGCGCGGGGAGGCCCCGTGTGCGAGGGGAGGCCCCGTGCGCCCAGCTCTGCTGCGGCCCTTCTGCAGCCCCACCACTGCTCCCCGCTGCTTAACGAGGTACAGAGCAGAGCTACTCAGCTCCATTTCCTTGCAGTTAGCAGCAAGGGCAGCTCACATGTCTATGTACTTGTCTGAGGGCTCTTGCACAGGGCAGGATGCGCGTCGCTCCTGCCTTCCCACGGCACGGCGGGGTACGCAGGGCCCAGGCCCAAGGGAAGCACGACACAAATCACACCAAACTGCACCGCTCGTCACGCAGAAACACAAATAACTAACACCCAAGGGCACAAGTTTATTTTTCTTGGCGTGCCTGCTCTGGAAACGCAGCCCAGCGGGGCTTCCAGAATCTCTTTAAAGCCTCCATTACTTTTTCCCTTTGCTGCCACCTAGCACGTCAGGTTTTTTACAGTGGAATTAAAATGCCCCCAAGATGTAGGTTTATGTAATGGAAACAATGACAGTTCGCTAACGACACAAACTGGAGGTAATGCACCAGCCCAACCATTTCCTCCAGTCAGTCCTGTGATGGATGTCAGCAACCACCAGGTCATAAAATGTAAGAGCTGAGAGTTCACTGCTGCTCAGGTTTACAAATTCACCCTCCTTCCCCTGCTCCCCACAAAAACAAACAAAAAACCTCCCCCGAATCAATACTGAGAAACTTTCCCAGTGTACATTGTAGGAATCCACAAAAATCGCACCTAATTGGAGTTGGGTGCTGGCCACAGAGAAATATATAGAAGTGAACTAATAAACTATCAGCACACAGTGCTGGCTAGAACATGCAAAGAAAAATAAGGCCGATGGCTGCAAGCCAAGGGAGGCAGAGCACATGAGCAGCGGGGCTAAAGGCCAGGACAAAGAGCAAAGTGCAGGAAAACAAGTGTCAGCTTTGCTGTGCGGTGCAGGGTCAGGGGGAGCTGCTGGCTACGACCCACGCAGAGCGGCGCGTGACGCTCACGTCCCTACTCTCGTCTCCAGAGCAGGTYCCTGGCTTTGGCCAACTGCAGCACGGCCCTGCGCTGGCCGGTTGTGCTGCTGCACGCTGCTCCGTGCAACAGCCTTCAAGATAACTCGGCTCCCACAATCCCGCTCCTTTGCAGAAACGAGAAGGAGCACAGGCAGCGTTTAGAAGGAGATTGCTCCCACAGTGTCCATGGAGGATGTGGCGAACAGCTGCAACAAAATGGTTATTTCTGCAATAACTGACAAACCAAAATAAATAAATTCATTTTTTTTTTTTTAAAAAAGTCTTTTTCTCCATGCTTCTGTGACATAAAACTCAGTGACAACTCAGTTTAATTACTTTCTTTAGGTAAATGTCCATAAGTGTGATTACTTAGAACCACTTAGAACAGAGTAGTATCTGTATCTCTTATGAAGAGCAGTACAATTGTTCACTTTGACACATGCTTACAAATGTCTTGGTCTACTCCATAATTTCACCAAAAATATCGACACTGCCTTCTGGGTCATCCTCCTGTTCCATCTCTTCGTTGTGGTCAGCCGGAGAGGCGCACCCACCATGCTTCCCCACGGCCTTTCTCTTCCTCCTGCGGACGTACACGTCGAGATGCGTCCCTCTCTCTTCGGGGGGCGAGCTGTCTGCACTGGGGGCAGGCTTCAAAGCTAACTGTAAGCAGTTGTAGAACCTAGAAGGAAATAAATGTGCAGTTAATGTTGTTGTACATTTGTGTAGGATCTGCTAAATTACTCATAGAAATTAGTGATTTTGTAATTCAATGGAAATGCATAAAGAAAACAAAATTGTTACTAAACTTTAAATGTACCAATTAATACCACAAGAAAAATTAGGAGCAGCAGTATGTGTCATGTTTATGCCATATCGCTTCTCTTTCGAATGTTTGTATATGASAAATCAATTACAAGGATGTACCTATGTGCAATTAAGGCCCTATTAACTTTACAGAAACCATAAATCATTATCATTTTCAGTGTCTAATAAACAACTGCAGTCGGTTGCACTGCTACCACTTGTAGCAACTTTAAACCTCTCTGACAACTACAGAGATTTTAAATGAACAAACAAAAACAAACTGGTCTTAGTAAAGTAAGTGCATCTGCAGCATCCGTTTGATCTTCACACCACTTGGCTCTTCTGCCTGTTCTGTTCCTCATATTTGGAAAGAAAAACATAAAAGACCCCAAATCTAGGTAGCCTTCCATCTCCTTCATCAATCATCAATTTTGGAAACTGTAAAAATCTGTAGGTGATTAAAGTGTGCATTGCAATCTGAAACTGTTCCTGTGTTAAAAAAACAACAAAAAYAAAACGCTCCTGCTATCAACAGAAAAAGAAAACTGAATGCTACTTAATACCAAACTCAGTCTGCAAACCCATACTGCTTATAGGCTTTGTTTAAATAAATAGTTTACAGTCTTCAGAGCTCAAAGTTAAGRGAACCCACATTTCAGACCTGTAAATTTTTTTTTAACATGTAGAATTCTTCTTAGATGGCCTCTCCTAACCACTTTTCACTTACGCATTTAAYGTCATCAATAGAATTAGTGTAATCTAACAAACCTGTCAATCCTTCTCATGTTCTCTTCCATTTTTTGATTTGCTATGTGTACCAGAAATTCAATATATTCTTCAGAGACCAGGAGTTTCCCCATGTGGCTCAGTGGAACTTCTAAGCAATGAGTGCTCCGCACAGCCTAAAACACAAATTTAAGTATTCATCTAGTATAAAGATATTTTATTTTATAGGGGTTATTTAAATATAGGAAATTCATTACAAGARGAAAAAAGACAAGCACACAATTGTTTAATTTGTTGTCAAGTAAAGCAGATCTCTTTTCACCACAATATTGTGAAATAGCAATTTTTCACCTTACTATTCAGATCTCGTCAAACATTAGTGGAATATCTGTTCAAATTATTTATAGTTAAGAAGTCCTTACCATCATAATTTTTCCTTTTTTGCCAACTGTAATACCAGAGTTCCTGAACCCAGAATCCATAGCTACAGAAAGCTGCAGAACAAATACATGTCAAACAGATCATGCACATTTTCACAGCAAGACTGTATTACAAATTGCAATGCAAGTCATGAATCCAGTTTGTCAAGAACTTACTAAAAATCATTTCCCCAGGTTAATGCAATAATAGTTGCATTTGAAGCCATAAAACAGTGTGGTTGGTTCTCAGAAACCATTGCTAGTTGATTGTCCTACCTTAAACCATGAACGCAGTTGAGACGCTCGTGTTTCCCTTGCACTGCACTGTTTTAGCTGCTGGAGCCCTCGTAATGCTACAGGCCATTGTGCAGCACCCACAGCTAACGGGCAGCACCTCCRTGAGAGACGCTTACCAGCTCCCCTCTACGTGAATCATGGAACAAACCCATCACGCCTTAGGCTCTCCAGAGTTGTTCTGGGAAAGTAGAAGGCAAAGGTGCTACTCAATTAGGTGAACACCAGAGCCAAATGGCTTGGCAAGCAGCAAAATGACTTACAAAAAACCTCTCATATTCAGCCAATGAAAGCAACACAGGCTCTCCGGGATTTCTTGTCTTTTTTTTTTTTTAACCTGCCAACCTGCTTCAGCTAAAATACAGAAGTAGTCAAGTAATCTTGTTTTCTAAAAAGTGCAGCAAAATCTCTAGTAAGTTTAAGGCTATGTTTTCTTCATTAGCTTATTTTTACTACCCTAGTTATTAAACRTGCAGTACAGCTGGGAATATTCTTACTGTTAAAACCTACTCAGGAGCCAATACTTTTACTTGTGCAGCAAGGAATATAGTGAAATAACAATGTCACATTGTTGCTTGATGTAATTTTACCAGAAGTTGTGCATCTTGCAGCTCTCGACACAGCACATGAAGAACAAAGGGTTCAAACTTGAATACGACGTCACCAGTGGCTCCTTCTAGCGCAGTCATCTGGAAAAGGCACAAACGTTTATAGTAACACTGAAAACGGGCACTGTTACTCGTCAAAAAATAAAGCCAGCTAGTGTGTAAAACAAGCATTAAAAACACAGCAAATTAACCTGTTCCTTTCARCTCTTTTCAATTTTTCGTTGCTCATAATGCACAGAAATTGCCTAGACTCCCAGATTTCTGTTAGCTAAACTAGGTTTGATAGAAATTCATGGCAAGATAGACTTTAAAACTTTAATGTGCTTCCCTGTTTATTTCTTTGTACATTCAAATGAATTGATATAGTCAGTACAGCACAGGAAGACGACTGTTTGCCTGCAATCAGATGAAACCTGAGCAGTCAGGGTTTTTTTTACGCTGTTCTGTACAATCAAAGACATTGAGCTGCTCAAGTACATTCCTCAGCTTCAGAGAACTTTGGGGTTACAGCAGATTAAATTTATAGCTTAATGTACATGATCACATTTTAATCTTAGTTTAAACAACRCTGCCTTGCCTACTGTATGACAGTTAAAAAGATAAAAAAGAAAACCTTCAGAGGTTGAAATTACAGGCATAAACCACGGGGGAAAAGAGGGCAAATAACTTCCTATATATACCATTCTAAATGTTACCTTAAGACTCCAGTTTTGTAAAAAGTGTGAGATACTAGTGACAAATTTTCCTGCATCTGCAAACATGGAGAATGGTACTGTGCAGTACTACAATTTCTGYTTTTCTATGCTACGTTTATGTAGAACAACCTCAAGGGGTTATGCTACTTCTTTCCTTTCAGAAAGATTGCTTTGAAGCAGTTACATTATATATTACTTTAATAATATTCCATTGTTCTGTATTCCATGTACTGTTTAGGTCGCTCTGCTTCTTATTCACATTCACTTGCTTAATTCACAATATTAAAATGTTGCTATATTAACTTGGAAAATATGAATTGCTTTCTCATATATTTTGCTTTGTCTATTCTTTCTCATGTTTCCTGCAAAATGAATATATTCAATAAAAGTCATTAGAAAATAATGTTCTCCTGYGTTTTTAAGACACTACTGACAGTACAAGAGCAAACTGCTCAAGTGACAACTCTTTTCCTTTTAAATCCTGAGAAATAGTGAGATGTGCTCATACAGCACCCCCTCTGCAGCTGCTGTCACTCCAAGTTGAAGACAGCTCTTTCTGAGGGACCAAGTSACAGGATTTACGTGCCCGGCTTTATGAGGATGCCGAGTGACCGCAGCTGTGCTCACGCTGATGGGAAGCAGGGCAGAGGAGCGCGGCAGAGCGCAGAAACCCCCAACCCAGCTCGTTGTGTGTTTGCGGGGCTGCTGGGGGCAGCAGCTCTGCTCTGCTCTGCCCGGCCGGTGCCAGTGCTAGCGGGGCCCAGCAGCCCCTTCCCGGCGCGGGATGCGTCCCCTACGGCCTCCGACGGCCTCTGCGGCTCCAGTGTTCCCTTTCTGGGTGTTTTGCCATCTCTGAAAACTCTGCTCTGGCCGCAGAGCCATGCGGGACTCTGAGCACAGCGCGTCGGCAGCTGACAGCACTTGACGTGCTTGGAAGCCAAGTGATGCAGACCCGTGCGCGAGTTAATGCGGTACTGGAGAGCATACCCGAGGCGTGCGCCGTGCCGCGGGGAGCTCCACGCGCCTCTGCCTCTCCAAAAGGGATAACTAATCTCACAGGCAGCCCAGAGACAAGTTTTCACCAGGGGAACAGAAACATCTGGGAAAGCCATACATGAATGTTCGTGCTGCCCCAAGGCTGGCTTACTGGTTTCAGCAGAAACTTTATTGATGGAATGAAATATTCCAAGTAAGGGTTTTTTTTTTTAATCACCTTATTGCTTCTAAAGGACTAGTATGAGGTAAAATCAATTCAATAGAGAAATTTGAAAAGTAATTTTCTGTTAAGTCTGTAACATTTCAGACTCAGCTCTGCTCCCGAAGATTTTGATGGAAAAACACCCTGCATGAGGCCCATCTATAAACAAAGCCCAGTTAGGACAGTGAGATGACAGAATATCTGTCAGTGTTAGGAAATTCCAAAAACAAAGAATGCACACGAGTGAAAAATCCCTGTATTTCAGACACAGGAGGGACTGACAAAGCGACAGCAGGCAGGAAGCTGCTGTGCGCGGAGGGGCGGCCGGGGCAGAGCGCGCGCGGCCGCTGCGGCCCTGGCGCTGGCCCCACTGGTGCCGGGGCAYGCGGCCCTTCTGCAGCGCCCGCCCAGAACGGGATGGGGCGCCCGGCAGCCCGCGCTGCGGGAAAGCACAAGGACCTCACGCTCCGTCCCGACACACACGTGAAAGTACATGTGCAGTGGTCCAGGGAAGGCAAAYGGCTCTGCATGTGCATATAACAAGGTATGGGGCAGCAGCTGCCTGGGTTCTGCTGCATACACGGACCTCAAGTCAAGGCTGAAGTGTCTGAGTTTAGTGCCAATAGCATGACATGGAAAAACAACAACAAAACACAAAAAACGGGACCTTTTTCAGTTTTAGACAATCTGAGAATTAAACAATTAATATTTGTAGAGTACTAAAAACCTTGTAAACAGGTTCTTCATAGTATATAAAGCTTTTTCTTTAAGTGCTGGGAAAAATCAATTACAAAACAAAATATTCTAAACTTGTATTGTTGAGGTTGATATACACAGTACATCAAATAGTCTCCTAGATAAAAAGCAAAACAGACAGGACCCACAGCTCTACTAGCCCCTCTCCTTCCATGAACACTGGACTAGTCGACCTTTTTCCAACCAGCAGAGCATAGCTGTTTAAAAGGCATTTTTCTTGCAATTCAAGCAGTAAAAAGTTGCTAGCCATATGCCTACTAAAAGGAACTGAAAATAGAAGCAAGCGGCTCCTCTGGAAAGGGCCGGGTGCTGCCCTGCTGCCTCCTGCCCAAGGCAAACCCAGCTGGACTGCAGCAAACGCTGCTTTGCTACCGAGCTGCCTGCACATCATCCGGAGCAAATATTAGTGATGACATGTTTGTAGAGATGGGGCTTCTTTTGTATATATGTGCAAGTGTATACGTATCTGTAAAATGAGTTATTAATAAGTGAGAAAATCTGTGATCCTGTAACTGCTTCAGTTTTAGAATATACACTGCAAAGAGATAATAAGAGAGCAGCCTATTTTGAAAAGTAAAGCTTTTTTTTTTATTATTTCAGCGAATTTTAAGATGCCATATTAAAAATGCAGCATAAGAGACTCACTGTTTGCTGGTCTCAGGTGCTTGCAAATGGAGCTGTTTGCAGCAAGGCGGACTCGTGATAACTTGTCAGGAAGCACTTGCAGTGCAGTGCCTGCCGGGAGCCGCGGCTCTTGCACGGCAGCCGCTCCGCCTGCAATAACAAGGAATCCACAAAGAACCTCCTTTAGTGCAGCCTGGTCAGCCTGAGAACAGCTCGTGGCTTCCTGACCCAGCTAGCACTCCATGGGAATTACAGTTACTTTGGTTCTGGATAGGAAGGTGTTTAAATCAAAATTAGTCTCCACTTGGCATGTTGCTGCAGCCCAGTGAGAAGGAAAAAACAAGCACCCAAACAGTAACTGCAGAAATAAGAAATACAGTTATTCTACACAGTCACCTTTCAGGAGAGGGACACCACCAGGGTAAGAAAAGCTCAGCTCTGCTGGTTCGGAGCAAGGAAAGGGTTAAGCACAGCTCAAACTCACTGCATCTCAGGTTTTCAGAGGCTGCCATTTAAAAGCCAGCCTTGTGCAGTCAGCCATTGATCGCGAGGCCCGCGGCGCTCCGCGATGCCGGGGCCGCGGCGCGGGGGCCGCTCGGGTTCGGGCCGGGTTAGGTGCGGGGGCCGCTCCGCGCGGCTCTTACCAGCGCGCCCGGCGTGCACAGGTCGTGCGTGACGAGCAGCCAGGCGCAGCCCCGCTTCTGCACCGCGATCCCGCGCGCGTCCTGCCAAGAGAGAGGCGATGGCGCGGGGCGCGGGCCGGGGCGGGCCGGGC